AAGTTTGTGTTTTCTAAATATGAGCCATTTATAGTTTTGTTATAAAATGCCCTTCCGTTGATTTTGTAGATTTATATGAAGATAATTCTGTATAATTGAGAAGATAGAATACACGCCCTTTCTAATTTTGTTATGGAATTGTGAATAAAATTCCTACATTTCATCAATAACTATTTTGGGGTGTGTTGTTTACTAAAATCCAATTTCCCATTCAACTTCACCAAAGTTTCATTTTAAATATATTTTTGTTATTCGTCACGTTTATACACATCATGTTTTTATACAAGCATTATTATTTTTAGGATAAACAATATTTTTTTATAACATTTTAACATCATCTACGTATCATTATGTGATTGGTCCAAAATTACTCCACAATCAATAATAATAATAATCATAAACAGAACCAATCACAGAATGACACATAAATAATGCTAAAATGTTGTTAAAAAAATATTATCAAACCATCGTTATCCTTATTTTTATATTCAACTACTACTTGACTTGTTATATGTCCAATTCCCCTTTTCAAAGAAAAGGTAACAGATTTTTAATACTTTTTTATTGAAACATGAAATTCCATTTGTGCACCAATCTGGATCCTATAAATATGCATACATTGGATCATTCTTCTTACCTGTCTACTACTAACTCTCGTTTAATTATTTAAGATGCAAACCGATGAGCTCGATGTCCTATTCCGTCTTGCCTTTGTTGTGTTATGCTTGGGTGTGTTGATATGCGTTTATAACATAACAAGGTATGGATAACCCATTTCTTCTTCTTTATTGCTTTTAGAACTATCAATTCACGTATATTCAAAATTACATATTCCATATTCCTTCTAAATTAAAATTAATTTTCTATTTAACTAACTTTTATTGAAGTTAATTGTATTCAATTGTCTTCAACTCATTCGTTGACGTGTTGATCTTGCTATTATCAATCTAAGAGTTATATAGTCAATAGTATAATTATAATTACCTCATTAATAATTTTTTTCAATTTTTTTCAATTTTTTATGCAGACCCAGAGGTATATCAAACGCATTCAATAATGCAGAGGGAGCAAGACAAGACATGGCTGAGGCGGAGGTACGCGGTGAACAGATTACCAGCGCATTCAATAACGACAAGAACGGCATACAAAATCATAGGAGGGCTAGAATTGGACGGTACTGCATTTTAAAAGATCTTACCATTTAGATTGGTTTGCTTAATGTTATATTCACATGACTTAGATAGGCTATTGCTTTTTTTTTTTTCATTGCATATATTGTCAGTTACATTTCCAAAAGGCAGCAGGTACATTTCTTCAAAACTGATATATGCAATGTTGAATCAACATTATCGGAGATTAACCCTTTTAACTTTTAGACCATTTAAATTGAAATTAGGACTTCAAACTATTAACTGTTAATCATATACTTATGCACTGAGTTATAATACAATTTCAAATTCTGACATATATTTCACTGTGAATTGGTGAATATAGTGATGAAACAAGCAAGGCAGAGAATTCCGAGAGAGTGAATCAAGCAGCAATTGAGTACGTGCCTGGAGAAAAGCAGCGGCTTACTTATAGAGATAAAAGTAATTAAGACCTTAATTCAGTGAGAAGCACCAGAAGGAATCTAATCTGTAACATTCAATTTGCAATCTATTGCAATTGAACTTTATCGTACTATTACGTTGAATTTATTTTAAGCTTTCATGAAATGGTTGTATTCTCTTAATGTTATGTACTTTCACATAAATGATTTTGTATGAAACTATTCACGAAATCTTCAAATTTTATAAGTTTTTCTTTATGAATGAAATATTATAATTTTAAAATAAATTTAATAACAATCATCTTAAAATGAAACAAAAACAAACTTGAAAAAAATGTCTATCAAATTTCTAAAATGGATTAGACTTAATTAGGAAATATTCTTTAACAATGAAAACAAATTACAACTATAATGAACACTTTCAATAAAATTAACTGTTTACGTTTCTGTTGTAATTCTTATTTCATGTCGCTATTAGCCCTATAATGAAATTTTATAATGTGCTTATCACATTTAAGTACATTTAACTTTTTTAACAAATACTTCATCGAGTTTGAACTGTCAATCATTTCATCAGATTTGATTTTTGTGTCATTTTAAATGATTAACTCATTTTTTTCATTATATTGTCGTTAATTAATGTTGTAAAAATAAAGTAAATAATGTTTATATGATAAAATTTTATCGTATTGAAAATATAAAGAAATATGTTTAATATTTACGTTCAGATATTTAGAAGAGGTGATTATGATAGTTGGTATTTACACATCTTTTAAGATGTCAAAAGTTTATGCTTTTTTCAAATTTATTTAAGTGTATATATATACATTGTGGGTGGGTGAGTGGAACAGTGGTGTGTTTGTCCTGGAGTTATATTGAACGTGACTTAAACATGTCCATATCTCTCCAAACACACCGTAGTTGCGAGGAAAGTTCCATTTCGCAGTCTGAAAAACGAGTGTTGATAAACTTATTATTATGGTTTTCCCTCACTTTCTCTTCACTACTTACAACTTCAACTAAAAATACTGTATTGAAATTTGTTTTTTACTTTAACACAACATAATTTGAAATTTGTTTTTTACTTGATAACACAACGTAACTTTGAAAGAGGCTTAAGCAGGCTAAAGATCAAGACTAGTTAGGTCAAATTGAAGGTCGAGATAAGTTAATTTAAATCAAGTTTAAAACAAATTATAACATAGATTAAAACAAGAAAAATCAAGTCAAATGTTTGAGAAATTTTAGGTTGGATCCAAGGTCGAGTAAGACAAATGGTTGAGATAGATCAACCTAAACTAATGTTCGTGACAAGCTGGGTCGGGACCAAAGATTATGATGAGTTTGTCAAGCAAAAAGTTGGGATAACCCCGATTGAGCCAAATGTTGACACAAGTCAGGTTTGCAAAAATATTTAGATAGATCCAGGTTGAAATTCGACCGAATTAAATCGAGAGATCCATAGTTTTTTATTAAATCGGTCATAATTGAAATTTAACCGAATTCAAACAAGTAAACTGCAACTGAAAAATGATTTAATTTAACTGAATCAACCATTGTTGAAAATATGTCGAGATTACCATGAGTGAAACTCAATTGAGTTAATTATGATTAGAATTCAAGTAAATAATTGTGAACCAAAAATCAAACAAATTTGGTCAAATTGACCCTAATAAAAAATTAATTCAACTTTTAATCTAAACAGATCAATATTATATATATATATATATATTATAATTAACTGGTAATTCACTACAACTCAATTAATTTTATCCATCCATTATCTTGACATAATTATATTAATCTTGTTCCATAAATTTAGTTACCTTTGTCAATGATAATTGTTTTACTAATTTTATCTCCTATTTTTCTAACGGGCTCATGAGTACCTATAAATTGATAATATAATAATAATAATTAAGTGATAAATTATGTACTTAATCATCATTCTTATCAATAAAGACGCAAAATATAATTCTTTTATATAATTAAATTTAAACCTCTTCCTCGATAAATTTAATCTATTACACTTCTTTAAATAGTTAACTACTA